TCTATTATATTCATAATAATCTCTCAAATTTAGTTTGCTGGTTTAATCAATAAAGTTTATTATAAGGATTCTATTCTTATTATTTGTCCTTCGCGTACAAAATTTCTAATTTCAATGAAAGAATAAGTTCTCTGAACTTTATTTCCTGCACTTTAAAATTACAATATCAAAATAAACACAACAATCTTCATTTATTCTGTTTCCATATGTTATATTTAACACATAATTTTCTACATAAATAATTCCTTAATTGTAATTATACGTGACAATATTTTCCAACGTCATAAACTTATATATATATATATATCAGCTTTCTTTATTTTGTAATGCGTAAATGATTTCGATCGACGTCATTCGCTTTAAGCTGAATAATAAAGAAAGTATAAACTTCATTAGTGCTTCAAAATTTTACGATGATATTTCACTATAATCATCAGTTTTCGATTGAAACATAGGAAATGATGTCAGAAATACTACACGACCTTCTCAAATGAATAAAAAAACATATGAATTTTCTAGATTAGAATTAGTATCAAGGGAAAAATAAATGTTTGAGTACTAATGCTAATTATTCCATATGACGTCATTCTCTGGAGATTTATTTTACTTGAATTTAAACTCAATATATCATACAGAAATAATAATTAGATAAAACACTTGATAAATTGACATGTCAAATATTGTATTTCAACCTGTATCAAATCTAAGATGATACTTATGTATTTTAATTAGTTAAATTTAGAGAATGTTATCTTATGCAGACACAAAAAAAAGTAATAGAGCGCGTAATCATATTGATGATCAGTGACATCTTGTTATTCTAACAGCAAGCATCTTATACGCAGTTGTCAAGGGCAAATAAATAAATCTCCTACTATACTATCATCTAATCTTATTGTATTCATATATATTTGTTGTTCTGAAGAATTTCTGAACATATTGATAATATTATTTCTTTATTGTAATTTGTATATAGATTAATTTAAATAAATGACTGTTTATAATCTTCCAGACGATATAACATTTACTAAAACGATTATAGAACGAGGCCAAGGTCTTCATACTCCTAATGAAGGTATAAAACAAAATGAATAATTTTTTTCAAAAACAAAAACTTCCTTTTGAAATATATTTTAGGATCAAATTGTAAAATAATTATTTATTTTTCTCCATGTGATTATTCATTAAATGAAAATTTCTATGCTGATCTTCTTCCGTTGAACGAAGAAATAAATATTCATTTAGGATTTTATTCTTCAATAATTAGTAATTATGTACACAAATGTTTAATAACAATGAAACAAAATGAATATTCTCAATTAAATTTTAATTCGTAACGAAATTCGATTTTTACTTTTAAATCAATATTTTTTGTGTAATTTTTAGTAATGATAATCAACAAATTCAAATTTCTATACGTTTAATTTCATTTGAACGTTTTCCGGAAATCTATTCCATGTCAATTAATGATCTTTATGATTTCGCATTAAAACATAAAGAAAATGCGAATAAATTCTTTCAAAATAAACATTATTTTCAAGCTTTTAAACTTTATCATCGTTCATTATGTTATATATTAAATTTTGTTAATGAACAACCAACAAATGAATATTTAGATAAATTTAATCAACTTATTTTATCAATTTATTCAAATATATCAGCATGTCAATTAATTTATGGAAATAATTTGAATGTTATTGAAAATTGTACATCAGCACTTGAAATTAATTCGAAATATGTTAAAGCTTTATATCGTCGAGGTTCAGCTTATGCGAATTTAAATGATTTTGAATTAGCATTAAAAGATCTTCAATTAGCAAATCAAATTGAACCAAATGATAAAAAAATTGAAGATCAGTTAAAATTAACACGACAACGTTTTGAACAATATAAGAAAACATTAGGAAAATCATTAAAAAACCTCTTTTAAAAATCGATCTTTCATTTATTATTCGGTCAGATTAAAAACAAATCTCTATTTTTTTTTCAGATGTTTGTTATTTGGATTTTTCTTGTTGGTATTACAAATGTTATTTGTGAAGATTTTTATTCATTTACAGTTAAAGATTGGGAAGGAAATGATCATCCATTAGAACAATATCGTGGAAAGGTTTAAAAAAAATAATTTTTATATTCAATAGAAATAATAATTTATGGTATTTTTTTATTCTAGGTGTCATTAGCTGTTAATGTAAGTTATATTATCAAATGTATCAATATTCTTGAGGGTGGGAGATGAAGATGAGGCTCACACTCATATCCATCTATATTTCAAATTTATTCTCATCATAATCCAGTGATGGATCTAGGATTTTTTATGAAGGGGGACGATTTCGGTCAAAAATCGTCCTGTTGCTGAAAACAAAAATCTGAGATAGGATGCAATCGCACCCCCTCCCCTCCCCTCCCTAAATCTATCGTATATATAACGGGCAGATTTTTTCTATCATTGGATAACGAACTTTGATTGATTCTCTTTTTATACACACATATATATATATATTATACAAGTTGAATACAAATATTTATTCTTACTTATCATAATGATCTATTTGCAATGTTTATGAATAATCTAACTCTTTCGATAGATCCCAAATATATGCTATAGTTAATTTATTAATGATGAGAACGATTGAATGACTTCTATTGCTTCTAGCTGTTTATGTTTATCTTACAACATATTTATCTATCATATGTTGTTGATCATTGTGGAATACTCGAAATATTACAGTACCCTCATTAGCTAATAGATGATAATAAAGAGTAACATTTATCTAATACAAAAACTTGAATTTTTTAATAAAAATAGGTCGCTAGTGAATGTTCATATACTGATTCACATTATGAAGCTCTTGTTGGTATACAACAAAAACTTAATCGAGGTAATCGAAATGTCTTTCAAGTACTTGCATTTCCAAGTAATCAATTTGGTAATCAAGAACCTCATGTAAATATTTTAAAAATAAATTATTCGATTTATTCTATTTTGCTTTATTTATTAAGAGTGATAGACATATTCGTGTATGGGCCAAAGATATGTTTGATATCAATTTTCCTATATTTGCTAAGGGTGCTGTTATAAAAGAAGGAATTGAGAATGAAGATGAATTACCAGATGTATGGAGATTTTTAAGTGGTAAATATCATTATATATATATTTTATTTATTTAAACAAAAAACAACGTTTTATTTAGAAAAAACTGAACCACCATCGTGGAATTTTTGGAAATATTTAATAGATCCAAATGGTAATGTTATTCAAGCTTATTCGCCTCAAATAAATATGCGTCAGGTTTATCCAGATATTAAAAAATTACTTGTTAAATACAATTTAATTGATAAATCCGAATTATAATAAAACAATACTATGAATTCATGTTTATTGATATCAATAGATTAGATTAAAATATAAGATATCGAGTGTTACATTTATTCTTCCGGTTGTTGTTATTCTCCTCACGTCTCTTTTTTTATTCTAGTCGCTTTATGTTATTCATGCATGCGCGTGTGTGTGTGAACTTTTCTTTTTTTTTATGCTCAACGATGTTCATGTTTGCTACTATTTAAATGACATTATTATTATGAAAATTTTTTTTCTGAGAATAAAATGAATAAATATCAAAATAGGATTTATTTTCTTGTTACATAGTTCAATATGATCAAACAAACTCTGGTTATTTGTTATTCTATCATTATAATTGATCGATAATATATGAAGATAAAGAATTATTCTAGAGATACTCACTTTAATAATACTCAAGATTTATATTTAGTTTAATGTTACTTTCTTTAGATTAACAAGTTATTTTTTTCGAGTTGTATCTTTTCTTTGCTACTTGATGTCTTCGAATCCTACGAGTCATTTTATTACCTTACCGAATCGTCCAATTGTTCAGACAAATGGTCAAACTACTCAAGGTCCACTAGAACTACACTATTGGGAATGGAAAGGCCATCAACCGACAATACTCTTCTGTCATGCTGCTTCATTTCATGGTCGATGTTATGATCGTATTATAAACGAAGCATTACACGGTTATCATGTGATTTCTTTAGACTTTCGTGGTCACGGTCAATCACAAAAACATCCACCTCCATATCGTTTTCGATGGCTCGGTGAAGATATTTTACATTTGATAGAAGTATTAAATCTTCCAAAAAATAATCTTATTGGTATTGGTCATTCAATGGGTGGATATGCCTTAACTAATGCTGCAGCAATAGCACCAACAAAATTATTTCGATCTCTACTTCTATGTGATCCTGGTATAGTTGTTCAATCATTATATGGTGTTGGTGATAAAAAATTGGAGTCAGTGGAATATATTCTTCGTCGTAAAACTCAATGGTCATCTCTTGAAGATATGATATCAAAATTTGAAAAACGTTCACCATTTTCACGATGGCCAAAAGATATTCTACGTGATTATTGTACTTATGCAATTGATGAAGATTATAAACTTAGATG